CTAAATTATATTATATAATACATTCAAAATAATCAGTCATGTAAAAAACGACATATAAGGTGATTATAAATGTGTCAAAATAAGCAGTAAATAATATGTAAATTTGATATATATGATTAACAAAGTAAATAATAAACAATAAAAAATGGTGTGCATTTATTTAAAAAATTCTACCTTTTTTTGGTTTACGATTAAAAAGGTGTTAAATTTGGTATTATAAATACTAAAATAATTTAGAATTACACGCTGTGATACACCTTTCTATTTAAATTAATTTACAACAAATCAAAGCCAAACAAAGTGTGTTATGAAATAAAACTACACCTTTTAAACAACTATACTTAATAGTAAATATATTATATATTATTAGTACAAGTATAAACAGTTTTCAAATAACATTGCATTGCAACTCCAAAATTAGGGTTACTGAGCATCCGATAAAAATAGAGGAGAATAAAAAAAGACACAATGGTTAGGAATATTCCTTAAATTGCACACCATTTTAATTAGAAAAACAACATAAAAAATATAAAACAAATCATTTCCTTTTCAAACGAGTTTCAACGTTTGGCGAAGTTTCTTTGGAAGAAGTGCCCAATCGATTTTAAAAGATTTCCAAATCCAAAACCAGAATAGTTGAGTAAAAAATTCTGGTATAATTTGAGTTGGTGTTTTATTCTAAAATTGCGAATCCACTGAAAAAGATCATAATCTCTGATGAGGATGTTATGTCTTGTGATATTTGCGCTTATGATGATAGTTCGAGCTGAAGAAGGATTATTGGATGACCATTTATTCGACACTGATGTTGAAGAATTTGCCTTACAAGACGATGATCTCTTTGGCATCAACTTGGCACAAACCGCCAAAGGCTTATTAGGCAAAGCCACTGCCTCTTTTGGGAGTAAAGACAAGAAAGTTTCCTTTGGTCTTTCAAGAGGTGCTGATGGTAAAATCAAAGCGAATGGTGGCTTGAATATTGGTGGTTTTGGGATCAATTTAGGGTCTGACAGTGGGTTATCCACTTCATATCAGAATGGTGACAACAAAGTGTCCTTTGGTTTAAAACGGGACGAGAATGGGAAGTTAGTGTCTAATGCACAAGCCAATTTAAAAGTTGGAGGTGCTGATATCAATGTTGGCTATGGCGATAACGGCGAAAAGGAAACAACCCCGGCGACAACCCCGGCAGCTGAACCGCCAAAAACAGAACAAGAAATTGCCGCACAGGAAGCCAAACAAGAACAAAAAGAAGCCATCCAAGAAGCACAAGAGAAACAAAAAGACGAACAATTAGCACAAGCCGACACGGTCAAGGAAAAACAAGCTGATGCGTTGGCAGAACAACAAGAGAAAGAGCAAGAGAAACAAGAACAAGAAGAACAAAAACAGGCGGAAGGAGAAACAACAGCCACTCCTAATACACCGACGACTACTCCATCAACTACCACTGCTGAGACAACTTCACCACAAGGCACAGAAGTCAATAACAATGTAAATAGAAAAGGTGCGTATAAGAGACTTGTCCGATCGTCTCGTGGATTGGGACTTAAAAGAGTTGCTGGAAGGAATATAAAGAGTGCGACCACACAGACTGCTGTTGCGAATCAAAACAAAGAAGACTCAAATGATGTTGCACAACAAGAAACAAAACAGGAAGATCCACAAAGTGCTTTGGATGAAAATGTACCAAAAGATAATCAACAAGAAGGCACTCAAGGAAATCAGAAACAACAAGAAAGTATGAGTCAATACGCGAAGAAAAGACTCTACAAAGGTAAATCAAGTCATCCATATAGTAAACTCTTCGGAAAAGGATATGGATACTATGGCTCACAATTCATTAGTGGAAGATATCCCTTCATTTATAACCACCCTATGTTCAAAAGCTTTTAAACCATTTTTAAACTAATTAATGTTATACTTTGTTTATGAAAATGGTATTATTTTTGTTGTTTATGTGTAATTTAACAGGCAAACTGTTAATGGAATTAATGGAATTGTAAAATTATTTAACATATTAAAATTATATATATTAATTATTATATACAGTATGTGAGAAAAGTATGTGAGAATAAGAAAATCCTGTGGATTCAATAAAAATTACATATTTGTTTTTCTTTTTTTTAAATAAAAATGTTTTTCTTTAAAAAA